CTCAGGTAGACCCTCCTCCTCAGGTTGAGGTCACTGGTGACTCAGGTGCTGCTGAGGGTGGTGCTGCTGCTGGGGGTGCTGAGCCTGGGGGTGCGGAGCCTGGGGGTGCGGAGCCTGGGGGTGCTGAGCCTGGGGGTGCGGAGCCTGGGGGTGCGGAGACTGGAGGTGCTGAGCCTGGGTGTGAGGAGTCTGGGGGTGCTGAGCCTGGGGGCGCTGAGGCGTCTGGTGAGCAGTCTCCCGGGAGCGGCCGTCTCCGTAGTCGCTCCGCTGGTGCCTCGCCGCTGCACTCTCGTCGTCGACTCCCTCTCTCCCCACAGCAGCTGTTTGAGTGGTACGCTGGCCGTCAGGGTCGCGCTGCTGGAGCTAGGGGCCCTGGTGCGGGAGGCGCTGGAGCTGGTGACTCTGCCACTGGAGTTGTTTCTACTGGAGGTTCTGGAGCTGCTGGAGGTGCTGGCGCTGGTGGCGCTGGAGCTGGAGGTTCTGGAGCTGCGGGTGCTGGCGCTGGAGGTTCTGGAGCTGCTGGAGGTGCTGGCGCTGGTGGCGCTGGCGCTGGAGGTACTGGCGCTGGTGGCGCTGGAGCTGGAGGTTCTGGAGCTGCTGAGGGTGCTGGCGCTGAGGGTTCTGAGTCTGCTGTTGCGCGGCTTCCTTGGATTAGCCGCCTTCGTCCGCGTGTGCCTCTCACCTCGCAGCAGCTGCACGACTGGTACGGTCGCCGTCAGGGTCGCGCTTCTGGAGCTCGGGGCTCTGCCGCTGGAGGTACTTCTGCTGTCGTCACTGGAGCTGGGAGTGGTGCTGGTCCCGGAGGTTCTCGTACTAGAGGTACTGGAGCTGCTGGGGCTGGAGGTGCTGAGTCTGAGGGTGCTGCTACTGGAGGCACTGAGGCTGGAGACCCTGGGACTGGAGGTGCCGGTTCTGGGGGTGCTGCTGTTGGTGGAGCTGGTCCTGGAGGAGCTGGCGCTGAGGGTTCTGGAGCTGCTGGAGGTGCTGGCGCAGGTGGCCCTGGAGCTGGAGGTTCTGGAGCTGCTGAGGGTGCTGGCGCTGGAGGTTCTGTAGCTGCTGGTGGTACTGCCGCTGGTGGCGCTGGAGCTGGAGGCTCTAGAGCTGCTGAGGGTGCTGGCGCTGGAGGTTCTGGAGCTGCTGGAGGTGCTGGAGCTGCTGGGGGTACTGGAGCTGCTGGTGCTGGTGTCACTGCACAGCCGCGCCTGTTCTTCGCTCCACCGTCTCCGTCGTCTCAGCCACCGCCTGACTCTGTGCTTCGCCAGGTTCTTAGTCTCCCTTCGTCTACTGGTCTTCCGTTGCAGCCTGGTTCACCGCTGCCTGCTCCTTCTCCTTACACTGAGCAGCTAGGGAGTCTTACTGAGCGTCGTGAGCCTGCGTCGCGTCCTGTCTCGCCTGTCTGTTCTGGTCGTTCCGGTCGTCGTGTTCCTCGTCCGCGTCTGCCGGCTGTCCCCGACACCCACCTCGTAGTCCGCCGTCCTTCCTCTCCTCCACAGCGTGTTCCTCTGCCGTCCCCCCCTGCGTCTTCTCTGCCGGTCGTTGCGGACCCCGAGTCTGACCGGTTTCGTGCTGAGCACCCTACTGTCACGCGTCTGCTAGCCACTGTTGTCACTGACCCGTCGTTTGAGTCTGCTGCTACGTCTGCCTTAGTTGCTGAGCTTGTTGACTTTGCTGCTGCCTGTCGTCTAGACTACGCCGGTAGTCTTGTTGCCGAGTCTGAGTCTGTCTGTCCTCCGTCCGTCGGGGGTGAGTGTGCTCTTGGCACGGACGTCCTTGAGGACAGGCAGGAGGACCTTGAGTGTCTTGCAGCCGCTGCGCCTCATCTCGTGTCCATGCTGCTTGCCCCTGAGGGAGACCCGGATGCTCCAGACATCTCGACCCCGCGCTCTTACGCTGAGGCGATCGCGGGTGAGTACTCCTCTCAGTGGCAGACAGCCATGGACGCAGAGATGGCATCCTGGAAGTCCACAGGCACCTACGTCGACGAGGTTCCCCCACCTGGGGCGAACATCGTCAGTGGCATGTGGATTTTCAAGGTGAAGCGGCCGCCAGGTTCTCCGCCTGCCTTCAAGGCGCGTTACGTTGCACGAGGTTTCAGTCAGCGAGAGGGAGTAGACTTCTTCCAGACCTTCGCCCCCACCCCGAAGATGACCACTCTTCGGGTGCTGCTGCACGTTGCCGCTCAGCGTGACTACGAGCTTCACTCTCTTGACTTCAGCACAGCCTTCTTACAGGGCAGCCTGCACGAGGAGATCTGGCTGCGCCGCCCACCTGGCTTCACTGGGTCGTTCCCTCCTGGTACCCAGTGGAGCCTCAGGCGGCCGGTCTACGGTCTCCGCCAGGCGCCACGTGAGTGGCACGACACACTGAGGACGACACTTGCGGCTCTTGGGTTTGCTCCGTCGACTGCTGACCCGTCGCTGTTTCTGCGCACCGACACTTCGCTGCCGCCGTTCTACATCCTCGTGTACGTCGACGACTTGGTCTTTGCCACTGCTGACACTGAGGCTCTCGCCCTGGTGAAGTCGGAGCTGCAGAAGAGACACACGTGCACAGACCTGGGTGAGCTGACAAGCTATCTTGGCTTGCGGATCACCCGGGACAGAGCACGCCGCACCATCACACTGACTCAGTCACACATGGTGCAGCAGGTCCTTCAGTGCTTCGGCTTCACCTGGTCCTCGGCACAGCACACTCCTCTGGCTACATGTCACTCGCTCTCAGCTCCACCTTCGGACGAGTCCGTAGAGCCGAGTGGTCCTTACCCAGAGCTAGTGGGCTGCCTCATGTACCTGATGACCTGCACTCGTCCTGACCTTGCGTACCCTCTTGGCCTTCTGGCTCGCTACGTGGCTCCTGGTCGGCACCGAAAGGTGCACATGGATGCTGCTAAGAGGGTACTACGCTACTTGTGCAGTACATCGGGCATGGGGCTCGTGCTTGGAGGACGGAGCGACGTTGTCCTCACTGGGCACTCAGACGCTTCTTGGGTTGACGACCAGGCTACGCAGCGGTCGTCACAGGGTTACACCTTCAGCCTTGGCTCTGGTTCGGTTTCTTGGCGTTCTACACGCTCGTCTTCAGTTCTCAGCTCCAGTTGTGAGGCTGAGATCTACGCCACAGCCATGGCTGCACAGGAGTTACGCTGGCTCTCCTACATGCTGACTGACTTGGGAGAGCGGCCTCGTTCTCCTCCAGTGCTGTACGTCGACAACAAGGCAGCCATTGCCTTGTGTGAGGAGCACAGACTGGAGCACAGAACGAAGCACATCGCTCTGCGTTACTTCCTGGCTCGAGAGTTGCAGCAGCGTGGTCAGCTTCGTCTGCGTCACGTGGCCACTCGGGCCAACACTGCTGATATATTCACCAAGGCACTTCAGTCTGGTGATCATCAGCGTTTGTGCACTATGCTAGGGCTTGTGCCCACTTTTCCTCACTTGCTGTAGGCTTTGCTTGTACTGTGATATATATATATGTATACCTGCATGCTTGCTTTGCTAGGTAGAGATCACTGTGCTGTTTGTGTTGCATATCTGCCTCTGCATGTGAACTGGCCATGTGGGCCTTTGCTTGTGCTCAGAGTGTGTGGTGACGTTGTGATCCACCCTGAGCTTGCTTTGCCTCTCTTGACTGGTCTTGTGACCCCTTGCTCTCCCCCACTTTGCCTATGGGGGTGTGTCAAAGTATATGCTGGTTATATATGTGTAGGCTGTAGTGGGGTAGCCAATATGGGGTACAGCCCCTGTTAGGGTTTCATACTTGTACCCACCTTTTAGGTGGCTCTCCCTTCCCGCGTCCGTCGCCCATGCTTACTCTGAGTGTCTCCCACGCTCTCCCATCATGTCGCTGGCCTTCACATGACCATCGCTTGCCCATTCCGTCGCTTTCCCAACGCCTTTCAAGTTCAGTACCTATTCTTGAAGCCTTACCATTCTAGACTCGGGCTTTAACTTGCAGCTAAGCCAATGAAACATTTTTGTTGAGTTGCGTAGCAACCCTATATATTTGGTTTGACATTTTGGGGATATCATTTGAGGAGTGATATTTTACGCACTTTTTGGAGCACACGTTTGAATGTTTGGAACTCTGTTCAAACGGATGCCTCAAATAGTGAATAAAAGCACTCTCAAATGAGATTCCCATGTGTGAAACCAAATACCGTACGTATCATGTTGAAACCATGAACTTGCTCGACCGTCCCAGCATCGTCGATAAATACGGCGGATGGTACGGCCGAACATAATATTCTGGTATCAACATGCACGAATGCAATTGTACAAATGAACAACAAGGTATGAGGTGGAGTGGTTGCTTCAAAATGAATGTTAAGATGCACCATATAGCAATAGAGGTTGATGGGGTCGTTGAAACAGCGAAAACACGCTGCCCCAAAGAAGATTAACAACCTCTAATTACATACATGACACATAGTAACACCACACTTTGAAGCACACATCCCACAAACACAAATGCAAACGCTCGCAAAAGGGTGCAACACCACGTAACGATTGTGAACGGATCGAAGTGGGTGCTCAATATACACCAATGCTGCAACTGAGATTGATGGGGTCGTTGAAACAGCGAAAACACGCTGCCCCAACGACGATGACAACCTCAGATCACAAACACGGTGCATATCAGCACAACAACCCCCCGTGAAACAACCAACTGAGATGAACACACCCGCACAAACTGACCCGCACAAACACACCCGCACACACATGCATACACGAATAGGATTGAGAGCAGACAAGCATAACGAAGAGTTGCTCAATTTATTATGTATCAATCACTGCTAGCTTGACCCCCCTTCCTCCCTCTTTCCGCCTTCCCTCCTCTCCCTCTACCATCAAAATCTCCTCCCACCCTTTTCCACATTGTCGTCTCTCTTGCATTCCCCTCCTTGCTCCCCACAATGCGTCTTGCACACCTTGCAAAACAAACAGGTTAAGTAAAAATGAATTGTCGTCGGAGAACGCAGTGAATTATTCAATGACGAGCACATGATTGTGAAACGGAACTTGATAAGCACGTATGTGTTGAAATCTGATAAGTACAAAATGAAAGTACCGATGAACATTGATACAAAACAGAAATGAAATGCAAGTCTTGCAACAAAAGAAACCGAATTTGACGACTCACAAGCGTGGTTTGAAACATAGATCCCCTGAGGTCACGCACACCGCGCTGGTGTGCAGCAAGGCTCCAGCGAGCAACGAGCTGGGCATCGCCATGCTACAAGGCGCCAGAGAGTTGCAGCAAGGCACCGGCAGGCTGAGAAGAGAAAGCGGGCTGCCGTAGCAAGGCTTGAGCACACGGCAGCAACGCGTGAGCTCACTGCAGCAACGCGTGAGCTCACTGCAGCAAGGCGTGAGCTCACTGCAGCAAGGCGTGAGCACACGGCAGCAACGCGTGAGCACACGGCAGCAACGCGTGAGCTCACTGCAGCAACGCGTGAGCTCACTGCAGCAAGGCGTGAGCTCACTGCAGCAAGTCGTGAGCTCACTGCAGCAACGCGTGAGCTCACTGCAGCAACGCGTGAGCTCACTGCAGCAAGGCGTGAGCTCACTGCAGCAAGGCGTGAGCTCACTGCAGCAAGGCGTGAGCTCACTGCAGCAACGCGTGAGCTCACTGCAGCAACGCGTGAGCTCACTGCAACAACGCGTGAACTCACTGCAGCAACGCGTGAGCTCACTGCAGCAACGCGTGAGCTCACTGCAGCAACGCGTGAGCTCACTGCAGCAAGGCGTGAGCTCACTGCAGCAAGGCGTGAGCTCACTGCAGCAAGGCGTGAGCTCACTGCAGCAACGCGTGAGCTCACTGCAGCAACGCGTGAGCTCACTGCAGCAACGCGTGAGCTCACTGCAGCAACGAGTGAGCTCACTGCAGCAACGCGTGAGCTCACTGCAGCAACGCGTGAGCTCACTGCAGCAACGCGTGAGCTCACTGCAGCAACGCGTGAGCTTACTGCAGCAACGCGTGAGCTCACTGCAGCAACGCGTGAGCTCACTGCAGCAACGCGTGAGCTCACTGCAGCAACGCGTGAGCTCACTGCAGCAACGCGTGAGCTCACTGCAGCAACGCGTGAGCTCACTGCAGCAACGCGTGAGCTCACTGCAGCAACGCGTGAGCTCACTGCAGCAACGCGTGAGCTCACTGCAGCAACGCGTGAGCTCACTGCAGCAACGCGTGAGCTCACTGCAACAACGCGTGAGCTCACTGCAGCAACGCGTGAGCTCACTGCAGCAACGCGTGAGCTCACTGCAGCAACGCGTGAGCTCACTGCAGCAAGGCGTGAGCTCACTGCAGCAAGGCGTGAGCTCACTGCAGCAAGGCGTGAGCTCACTGCAGCAACGCGTGAGCTCACTGCAGCAACGCGTGAGCTCACTGCAGCAACGAGTGAGCTCACTGCAGCAACGCGTGAGCTCACTGCAGCAACGCGTGAGCTCACTGCAGCAACGCGTGAGCTCACTGCAGCAACGCGTGAGCTCACTGCAGCAAGGCGTGAGCTCACTGCAGCAAGTCGTGAGCTCACTGCAGCAAGGCGTGAGCTCACTGCAGCAAGGCGTGAGCACACGGCAGCAACGCGTGAGCACACGGCAGCAACGCGTGAGCTCACTGCAGCAACGCGTGAGCTCACTGCAGCAAGGCGTGAGCTCACTGCAGCAAGGCGTGAGCTCACTGCAGCAAGGCGTGAGCACACGGCAGCAACGCGTGAGCACACGGCAGCAATGCGTGAGCTCACTGCAGCAACGCGTGAGCTCACTGCAGCAAGGCGTGAGCTCACTGCAGCAAGTCGTGAGCTCACTGCAGCAACGCGTGAGCTCACTGCAGCAACGCGTGAGCTCACTGCATCAACGCGTGAGCTCACTGCAGCAACGCGTGAGCTCACTGCAGCAACGCGTGAGCTCACTGCAGCAACGCGTGAGCTCACTGCAGCAACGCGTGAGCTCACTGCAGCAACGCGTGAGCTCACTGCAGCAACGCGTGAGCTCACTGCAGCAACGCGTGAGCTCGCTGCAGCAACGCGTGAGCTCACTGCAGCAACGCGTGAGCTCACTGCAGCAAGGCGTGAGCTCACTGCAGCAACGCGTGAGCTCACTGCAGCAACGCGTGAGCTCGCTGCAGCAACGCGTGAGCTCACTGCAGCAACGCGTGAGCTCACTGCAGCAACGCGTGAGCTCACTGCAGCAAGGCGTGAGCTCACTGCAGCAACGCGTGAGCTCGCTGCAGCAACGCGTGAGCTCGCTGCAGCAACGCGTGAGCTCACTGCAGCAACGCGTGAGCTCACTGCAGCAACGCGTGAGCTCACTGCAGCAACGCGTGAACTCACTGCAGCAACGCGTGAGCTCACTGCAGCAACGCGTGAGCTCACTGCAGCAACGCGTGAGCTCACTGCAGCAACGCGTGAGCTCACTGCAGCAACGCGTGAGCTCACTGCAGCAACGCGTGAGCTCACTGCAGCAACGCGTGAGCTCACTGCAGCAACGCGTGAGCTCACTGCAGCAACGCGTGAGCTCACTGCAGCAACGCGTGAGCGTGCGCAATAATTTACCAGCGCGCTACCGCAACAAGGCTGCCGCAAGAATTTGCCAGCGCCGCAAACAAGGCAGCAGCGCACAAGCCGCCAGCACGCTACAAGGTGCCAGCGCGCTGCGAGGGCACCTGCAAGGCGCCAGCGCATAAGGCGCCAGCGCGTAAGGCGACAGCGCGTTAGGCGCCAGCGCGCTGTGCGCCAGCGCGCTAGGCGCCAGCGCGTTTGGCGCCAGCGCGTTAGGCGCCAGCGCAGCAAGCGCCAGCGCGCTAGGCGCTAGCGCGTTTGGCGCCAGCGCTCTAGGCGCCTGCGCATTAGGCGCCAGCGCGCTAGGGCCAGCGCATTTGGCGCCAGCGCGTTAGGCGCCAGCACTCTAGGCGCCTGCGCATTAGGCGCCAGCGCGCTAGGAACCAGCGCACTATGCGCCAGCGCGCTAGGCGCCAGCGCAGCAAGCGCCAGCGCGCTAGGCGCTAGCGCGTTAGGCGCCAGCGCTCTAGGCGCCTGCGCGTTAGGCGCCAGCGCGCTAGGCGCCAGCGCGTTTGGCGCCAGCCCGTTAGGCGCCAGCGCGCTATGCGCCTGCGTGCTCGCTCCCGTGCACACACACTCCCTCACACTCCCTCTCTCCCCTTCTTAAAATGGAGGCACAATGCTAAGAGGAGACCAATCGGCATTGAGAACTTACGAGGAAAGTGGAAAAAAATATGACATTTCGGAGAGAGAAGGAAACGCACCTGAGACAACCGTGCCTAAGAAAACAACGCGTGGTCGTGCAGCAACCCACCAAAGGCGACGGCGGGAAGGGAGGGAGAGGCGACGAGGAGGAGGAAGGGGGAGCGACGGCGGGGAGGGAGGGAGAGGCGACGGTGGGGGGTGAAGAGAGGCGACGGCGGGGAGTGAGGGAGAGGTGACGGCAAGGTGGTTCTAAAAACGCAATTGGTAGGGAATGGCGACGGGGTTGGGAAGGTACTTGGGGTGGGAAGATAAGGGGAGATCAGAGTCTAGTAGGGGCTTGAATTCAAGAAACGGGACTCCCAAGGGAGCAGAGTTGACAGTGGGGAAAGGAAGGGTTTGGTTGGGTTGGCAAGAAACTTTTCTGCCAACGAGGCACGAACCAGTTTTCACATTCGATATACATCAGTTCCGTTATACTCGTCAAAATCAAGAATTTTGTAGATTATCATTTTTAGCTGTTTTGACACATAAGATTTGGCTGCAAATACATAAACTCATTAGAAAACAATATTGCTTAGTGAAACAAATTCATTTATGTTATCTAAATATTTTTCCATTAACAAAAATCAATGTTAAGAAAGAATTACCATGAGGAATAACAAAATAAAGAACTTACAAGCATGTTATAAAGAGACATAGTTCGTTGCTTTCTCGATATACCATAAGTATAATATAATACCAAGCTAGCACGAAAAATGTAAGTCCTACGCAACCCTTCCGACGTTAACGTCGAATCTTGTTTTTTTTACATTTCCATTAGTTCAATTTTAAATTAGTTATAGAAGGTTCTTTATCACAAAAAGAGAGGCACTTGCCCACCACTAAGGTGGGTTTGGAATCACAATCACTCCCGGAAACATGTCACGAATATACCCTTCTACGTGAAAATCGTCCGTTCCAACCTTCGTGAGGCACGGCAGGCCCTTGAGCCAGTTAATACCATTTGCAGTGATCTCCTCCGCTTCCCACAACCCCAGCATCTCTAGCTGCTTCATATGCCTCAAATACTTCATACCCGAGTCAGTCACACCCGGAGGCAAATAGAAATTAATCAGCGAGGTGAGGGAGGCAAGATACGACAGCCCCTCCTCACCCACTCCTGTCTCATGCAGCGACAGCTCCTCCAATGCAGTCAGCTTCCCCACATAGATCATACCATCAGACGTGATAGACTCGCATCCCCCCAGGTGAAGCTTCAGGAGTGACGTCATCCCTTCCAGCCTCGCAAGCCCCGCATTCGTTACCTTGCTGTAGTATAGAACGAGAGTGCGAAGGCTCTTAACGCGGTCAATACCTTCCAGAGCAGCGTCTGTGCATGAACCCGTGAGTTCCAGATGCATGAGCGATGGAAGGGAGTAGAGCTGCCGCACCCCTGCAGCGGAGAAGCCTGAGGAGTTCCTGAGGTTGACAGAGATGAGCTGGCGCAACGAGGTGAGGCGGGAGAGAGCCGCATTTGACAGGTTGGAGACGACTATGAATTCCATCTCCGTCTGCTGCGGCGCTGCCTTGGCCCAGAGCGTCAGCAGCGCCTGTAGGGAAGGCGTGGGTGGGTGGGTGGTCAGTGTGGCAGGGAGAAAGATGAGAGGTATGAGAGGGAGAAGAGTGAGCGGGATGAGAGGGAGAAGAGTAAGCAGGATGTCAGGGACGAGATGCATCAAACAGCAACACGACAAGCTAGACCTTGAAGCTTTATAAATAAAGCCAGCCAGCCAGCATGCAGCTGCATGCATGTGCCACATGCTCCCATGTCCCACATGCATGGTCTCACGCGTGCCACATACATGCATCCTCTCGTGTGTCTCTTCACCAATGTCAATATTCCTTCCAACCATCTCGGATTCGCATGGGTGATACATGCATCCTCTCACGCTTGTCATTTGCCAAGGTGGCAGCAGTTGCTTTTGACAAAAAACGAAGAAGAACAGAAAAGGAACATAAATGTATGCACTCACCTCCCATAACCTTCCTCTGTCATGATTACCGTCCTCCACCTTATCCACTCTGCGCAGCAGTCCATCTACCGCCTTCTGCAGTGCCGACAGGGCAGCCTTTATTTCTCCCTCATCCCGCTTTCCATCTGGAGCACCACGATTGGCAACAAGTGCGCGACCGCCCGCAGCAGCAGACGCCACCCCCTCTGCCTTCCCCGCTTCATCCAACTTCCGCCTCTTCCCCTCAGGCGTCTCTGCGCACCCCCGCTCCTCCGCGCGCGCCTTCTCCCGCGCGCTCTTCCCCTCCGCCACCGCCAGCTCCAAGTCGTTCGTTCGCTCCTCAGCGTGCGCCGCAATCGCGCGCACGTACGCCACTTCCGCCGCCTGCCGTTCCGCCGCAGCCCGCACCTGCGCAATCTCCGCCTTCAGCGCGCCCGCCGCGTCCGCCGCCTCGCTCCGCACCGCGTCCACCTGCTGCTTAAAACCTTCCGCCTGAGACTCAAGCTCACCCCTTAATCCAACTACGTGCTCCGTTATAAAGTTCTCCACTATCGCAATGATTTCTTTCCCATCTAGAATCTCCGCCGGGAGGTCGCCGTGACCTGCCTTTGCGGCATCATCCCCTGCCGCTGCACTCCCCGCCCCGCCCTTGCCGTTTGCCTTCCCCCCGTTTCTCCCCCTCTCTAACGCCCCCTTCGCCGCTGCGCCCGTCGCCGCTGCGACCTTCGCGTCTGCACCCTCCGCATTTGCGCCCGTCGGCTCTGCGGCTTGCGCTTCTGCGCCCTTCGGCTCTGCGACCTTCGCCTCTGCACCGTTCGCGTCTGCAACCTTCGCCATCGCGCGTCGCAGTTCGTCAACTTCCTTCTTGAGAGCAGCCATGGCCTCCTCCTGCTGCCTCAGCTTCGCCGCTAAATGCTCTACTTGCGCCACCATTCCTCCTGCGGTTTCACTCACCGTCCCCCCCGCCACCTCCTCCGGTCGGACCGTCACCGGCACTCCGTGTGACATGGCTCCTGTTATCGCCGTTGCAATCGTGACCGTACGAACGTCGAGGTATCGGGGGAGGTTGTAGTGGGTGGTTGGGAAGTGAGAAGAGGTGAGGAGGTGCCTTGCCCCTCTTTGTCCCAAGAGTCACCATTCTAATGGCAGGGGCCGGTTTTATTGCAAGGATGCTGTCCCCGCTTCACTTTTTTGTAGAACCTCATTTCGTCTCCAGGATCCCTGGCGTCCACCAAACTGAAAGAAAACATGCCTAGCGGTGATGGAAATACGCCCTCGGCAGGAGCTCAATAATCTTGCTTCCCCATTTTAGCGAAGAGTTCAGGCAGCATGGTCAACCGAACGATGCTTCTCGAAGGTGGAAAGCCTTGCTGTACGGAGCGCATTGGTCCTACGGTTTGACTAACCAGACATGCTTGACGCGCTACTTCGTATTCGTGTCGTGCATGTACACTATATTTGAATGTCACTCAGGTGATGATAACCTGGGGATATTCGGAATTATCATTATTGAATGTAAATAACAATATCACATGACCAATGCTTACAAACATGAAGACAACTACCAGTGGATTGTCAAAAACAAGCTTTTCAAGCACGAAAAGCGACGCAGTAGCCTACACCTAAAGTGGTCCTGGAGTTACAACCATTCCGGGAAAATGGTCCCGAATTAACCCTTCTACATTCTCATCATCCGAACCAATCTTCCTAAGGCTCGGCAGGCCCTTGAGCCAGTTTATACCATTTGCAGTAATTTCCGCATCCCACAACCCCAGCCTCTCCACCCGCATCATATTCCTCAAATACTTCATGCACCGGTCAGTCACTCCGGGAGGCACAGTGAAGTAGTTCAGGTTGGAGAGAAGAGTAAGATGCACCAGCCCATCCTCCCTCACTCCCGACTCGTGCAGTGAAAGCTCTTCCAAAGCCGTCAGCTTCCCCACATGCACCATACCAGCAGAGGTGATTCCCCTGCATCCCCCCAGCTGAAGCTTCAGGAGGGATGTCATCCCTTCCAGCCTTGCAAGCCCCACATCTGTGACCGTGCTGTTGAAAAGAATCAGAGTGCGCAGGCTCTTCACGCGGTCAATACCCTCAAGAGCAGCGTCCGTGCATGAACCCGTGAGATCCAGATGCATGAGCGATGGCAGGGAGTAGAGCTTGCGCACTCCCACCGCGGAGAAGCCTGAGGAGTCTCCAAGGTCAACGGTTATGAGCTGGCGCAACGAGGTGAGACGGGTTAGGGCGCCGTTTGTGAGGGTGGAGATGCCTCTGAGGGTCACCTCTGTCTGCTGCGGCGCTGCCTTGGCCCAGAGAGTCAGCAGCGCCTGTAGGGGAGGAATGGGTGGGTGGTGAACATAGCATGGAGAGGGAGGAGTGGGGTGAGGGATGAGAGGGATGAAAGGAATAAGAAAAGCTGCATTAGGTGGGAGAAGCTAGACCCTGAAGCTTCATGAGTACAGCCAGCCATCCAGCATCATGCCACTGCACATGGCGACATGTGCGACATGGTCCCACGCGTGCCAAAAACAAACACCCGAAGCTTCTCACGCGCCAACATCCTCACGCATGACCAATATCATTGTGGCCGGCCATCTATCTCAGATTCGCTTTTCGCTTGCCAGTGCTGGCAGCCATTGCTCTTGAAATCAATAAATTAACAATAAATAATGAAACAACAATACAAGAAAACAGAAACGCAAGCACTAACCTCCCATAGAACCCCTCGGTCGGCGCTCCTGCTCTCCAGCGTACCCACTCTGTCCTGCAGACCCTCCACCCGAGTCCTCAGTCCCGACAAGCCAGCCTTCCATTCCGCCCCATCCTGCTTTCCATCGGAAGCACCACGCGTGGCAACGAGTGCGCAACCGCCCGCAGCAGCATGTGCCATCTCCTCCGCCTTCCCCGCTTCATCCAGCTTCCGCCTCTTCCCCTCGGGCGTCTCCGCTCCTGCTTGAGCCCCCGCGCTTCCCCCGGCCTGGCTGCGCCCCGCGCGCCCCTGCTCTGCGCGTTCATTCTCCCGCGTGCTCTTCCACTCCGCCACCGCCAGCTCCAACTCGTTCACCCGCGCCTCAGCGTGCGCCGCCGTCGCGCGCACGTACGCCACTTCCGCCGCCTGGCGCTCAGCCGCAGCCTTCATCCGCGCAATCTCCGCCTTGAGCGCGCCCGCCGCGCCGGCCGCCTCGCTCCGCACTGTCTCCGCCTGCTGCTTCAAACCCTCCGCCGTGGACGCAAGCTCACTTCTTATAATCTTTACAAAGCCTCCCGTTATAAGGTTCTCAAGCACGGGAATAAAATCTTTCTGATAGCAAGGCTCCGCCGGGAGGTCATCTCCTGCCTCCTTGCCCTTTGCCGTCTCCCCGTGGCTTCCCGTCTCCAACGCTCCTTTCGCCGCTGCGCCCTTTGCCGCGCCCGTCGCTTCTGTGCGCATTGCCTCTGCGCCCTCTGCTTCTGCGCCCGTTGCATTTGCGCCCTTCGCCTCTAGAACCTTCGCCTCAGCGCCCTTCGCGTCTGCGGCCTGCGCCACCGCGCGTCGCAGTTCGTCAACCTCGCTCTTGAGAGCAGCCATGGCCTCCTCCTGCTGCGCCAGCTTCGCCGCTAACTGCTCTACTCGCGCCTCCATTCCTCCTGCTGCCTCACTCATCGTCTCTCCGTCTGACATGGCTGCTGCCGTAATTTCCCGTTGCAATTGCGACCGTACGAACGTAGAATTATTAAAAGTGCTAGGTGTCAGAGCGGCTCAAAAGCGGGAAGATGGGATAAAGGGTGAGGCGAGGGAACATTTCTCCCCTTCGGGCCTTGGCCGCTATTCTTTGTCGGACCATAGAAGTCCCAATTTGCACAGGCGAGGTGTAGGGCAGGTCTGATGAATGGTTGTCCGTGCATCAATGTTCAGACTGGTGGGTAGCGGTTAAAGACGGCGAGCAAAAAAACCGCCCCACAGTGCACAACATCGTACTCAACCGCTTCTACTGAAGAGGAAGCGAACTCTCGTGACCCGCCCTTACATCCTGAGAATGCTGACTCGGTCGAGGAACCTTCTAGGGCTCACATCCTCGTTTTAGCAAAGGGTCCGCTAAGATATACGTCTTGAAAGTGAACAGTTAACAGTACAATGGAAGAAGGGTATGAGGGAAATTTGGAGAAACCAAGTGAGCAATTGCATAAGAGAACATTGAATAGAAAACAAATGCTAATTGTAATACGGGGAGAATTCAATGCTGGCATGGAGGCTTGGGAATGTATAGCAGCAGTAGTAATGTACTGCATGCAAGCGCATTTTCTGGTAGGCCCCTTGGCCTAAATCCGCTAAAGGATAGCGGGGTCGACTAAGTCGAGGCGGCGGAAGTCTTTGGCGAAGAAAGGATTAGCGAAATAGGCGAAGAAGTAACTGAGTAATGGTTGAATGAGAATTGGTTCATAATGGCAAGTACAAGCAAGGTTTATAAAGCATGCAAGAGCGAATGTCGGAAAGTAGTTCGTGGGACTACGAAGTGGAATGCAAGAAAACTAGAGTGCCACGTGGCACAAGGAAATCAAGGCAATCCCAAAGGGATTGGATGGAGATAAGGTTGGGATTGGGTTGGGGCAGGCCCTCAGAAGTCAGGAATTTTACCCTGAATTCCTGAAGTTTCACCCCCTTTTTTTAATGGAACCCTGTTTGATCAGCCTTTTTTAGATGACTGTCGTTTCAGTGTTTTTTTAGGAGGTACTCTGAATTTCCAGTGTTTTCAACTTTTGGACACTGACGAATCAGTGTTGTATCGAGGTCGACCCTGAAACAGAAAACTCTGTGAATCTCGCAAATTCGACATGTTTGGCGCGCCGTTAACATTCAGCTACCCACCGTGCACCGACGCCACCCTGCGCCTCGACCAGATTCAGCTCCACTGGCTGATTTCGGGCGTTGTTTGCACAACGGCGGTATCTAATTGGCTGTTCGAAGTTCCAATGCATCGTTGTCTCTGACTACTGCCAACACTTGTTTGTTTTGCCTCGCAGCGCACAAACCCAGTGGTTCGTGTTGTCCGTTTCAACACGCGAGGGCGTGCAGGGGAGGTTCACTCGGCCCAGCCATGCAGGGGGTCTTGTGAATCCCTCATTTTTGCTCTCCAGTGCACGGAACCATCCCTCTCCGCTGGCTCAATCAGTTCTGCAACTGAAACCCTTGCGGCAGGCTCGCCCTTTCTCTAGCGACTACTCTGCCTTTCTCGTTGATGCAGTGAACGAGCCATGGCGAACACCAGTGTCAACGGCACCGGTGACGATGCCGATGATGCCGTAGACCACGCTACGGAGATGCGAGAGGCAAGGACGGGACTAGATTTCCTAGTCTCCGCGCTCTCCAACGAGCAAGAGAAAGAGGCTCCCCGCTGTTCTCGTAAGAACAATGCCGAAGCGTCCGACATCTGCGGCGCTGACGATCGGCCCGTGCCTCCGATTACTGCAAAACCAGTCGCGCCGTCAGCAGCTGGGCCGTCCGTCCGCTTGCCATCACGTGCCTCGACATCGAAGCCTCCAGCCCGTTACAAGCAGGCCGTGCTTCGCTGGGCCGATCCAACGGCCCCTGGCCGTCCTCTCGCCGATGCTGGCGAGTCAGTAAACCACGCTACGGACACACCGTCAAAGTCGCGAAAGCAGTCACTTACCTCGATGATTTACGAAGATGCTTTGGACACGTTCAAATCCAGTTGGTCGAAAGACTTCCCATGGCTTGTACTAATAAAAAACTCTGCTGGCCTGCCTGCGTTCAAATGCAGTTTGTGCATGGAGTTTGCTGGTGACAGTGGCAAGTGTGGCAGGGGTGGGCACGGAGCAACCGATCTTCAGACACAAGCCTTCAAGCGGCATGCAGCGACCAACAAACACCGGTTGGCCATCGAGCACCAAGAGAAGCTGCTAGCTCAGGCCGGGAAGCAGCCGAGGATTGACGAGCATCCGCTCGCCAGGGATGAGGAGAAGGTCCGCATCATCGCCCTCCTCGACTCCCTGCTTGTTCTCGACCCAGAACTGCTTGCCCAGAGACGTGGGTGCGGTTCGTGCGGTACATGGCGAAAAACGACGTCCGTGGCTTCCCCAAAAAGGGATACGGCACGTATTACACCATGTACGTTGTTTAGGATACCGTTGCTTGCGCCTTCATTACTAAATCACTGCATGTTTAACCAACTACTTTTCCTTCCGATGCTTTGTGGCCGTTTGCAGGTACGGCTTTGGTGAACTCACACAGGCAACGGCTGTGTGGCTGCAGACCACACAGCTGGAGCACATTCTGTCTAGCCCTTACGTCGGCCTCAGCTGCGACGAGTCGACGGATAGATGCCGCGGGAAGCATCTCATCATCTACGCAACGTTCATCCGCGAACATGCAGTAGTCAATGAGTTCTTTGCTCTTCTAACAGTGGACAAGGCCGATGCAGCCTCACTGGTGGGCTTGCTATTATCCCATGTGCAGGCTGTCGGAGTTGACCTGCACCGAATCATGGGCATCAGCATAGACGGCGCGCCGATTATGATCGGCTCGAAGAACGGGCTCGTGGCGAGGCTTAGGACGCGCATCCCGCACCTGGTTTCCTGCCACTGCATCACTCACAGGTAAGCAACTTGTAGCGCTCGCCCAATTACCGTGACTTAGATATATCTATCGTATTCTACCTATAACATGCAGTTTGAATCGATGTTTACCGTTTTTATCTTTGTGGCAGGGAAGCTCTCGCGGCCAAGGACGCGGCTGAGTCCCTGCCAGAGTTTGACATGGTTGACAGCTTCATCCGGTGGTTGTCCAACTTCTTTGGGTCATCCGGACCCTGGCACCAACGTTTCTTGGATCTGCAAGAGGTCTTCACACAAACGAACCTGGAGCTACAAGGAATACACGCTGTGCGGTGGCTCTCTCGGGGTGATGCAGTCTCTCGCCTGCTTGCAGTCTTCCCAGGTGTGATTGTGATAGTGCACGAGTTGGGAAACGATCCCATGTACCAGATGGTTACAAGCTACAGGTTCCAGTTCCTGCTCCTCTTCCTCGCCGACATCCTGGAGCAACTGAACGTCCTCAGCAAGACATTCCAGCATCGTCAGGTAAGAACTTGCATTCACTCTGATGAGAAGTCTCCGCCTGTGTTTGTATGCAGTCAATCTTGCAAGCACCTTGACACATGATGTATGAGATATGCCTGCCGATCCACACGTTCTAATCTTCCTCGTTACTTTCTCCAATGTTGTTGTGTGTGGCAGATTGACCTGGCGGCAATTCAAGGCCAGATCCGTCGCACGACTTCCCACATCAACTCGCGTTATGTGGACTGCGGCGACGATTTCGGCGGCGGCCACAGCGAGAAGTTGTCGCCGTTCATTGCCCGACATGGTCCGGCAGGGGTGCGGAGAGCAGAAGTCGAGGGCATTGATTCCGACGGTCGCCCCACTTCACATTGTTATGTCTTGCATGACTCCCCCCTTGAAGACTACCCCACTGCAGGGACCCATAACCGGTGCGTGGACCTGTGCACAGCGATGGCGGAGTCCCTGGTGCATCATTTGACCGAGCGGCTGGGTTCCCTCGACACGATGATTGGTGTGAAGCTCTTCATGCCAGACTCGTGGCCGCTTGGACGGCAAGAGCGAACGGTCGTGTGCACGGAACATCTCGAGTCATTAATCACGCTCTTCAAGGCCCACGAGACCGTCGAGATCATACCAGGTTAGTGCCGCCAGACGCACTGTGGATCTTTGAGTTTGTGTGGTTTCTTATGTAGCAACCCATGTGTAGTTTTGCATCATACCGTGCATGACTCTTAACTCACTACTTGCATTGAGATCAAAGACGCTTACTTTGTTGGTTCAACCAGTGTATGCACTCTCCCCGCACTGCAGGTGTCAACAAGCAGAAGGCGATCAAGGAGATGCGCTCGTTCTGCCAAGTTCTCGCCACCGCTCCGAAGTCCGAGAGGAAGTTCTACCCGGGTCTCTCCGCCATGCTGAAGTCGTCCGACTGGGAGGTCGCGTATCCGAACCTGGTGAAGCTGTGGGTGGCTGTTGCTGTGCTACCATTGAGCACAGTCGAGTGCGAACGGGGCTTCTCGCGTCAAAACGTGATCAAGAGCTGGGTGAGAGGTGCCCTGAAGGATGCAAGGCTGTCTGACCTCATGTGCATGGCCTTGCTGCAGTACGAGCCAGACTGGGAGGAGGTGGTGAAGATTTGGAGAGCTTACAAGAAACGCAAGCCCTTCACAACAGTGGCAGCAGCCAAGAAGCAACCAAGTGCAAAAGGGAAAGAGAAGGAAGAGGAGGAAGACATGTACCTGGTTTCTGGCTCAGGGGGGACAGAGACCCCCATGCACATGACTTTGAGCGATGATGATAGCGATGATGACACCATGTGATGTGTTGTGTGTGTGTGTGATAGGTAGATGGATGGTGGTGGTAGTAGTGGTGTGGATTTAAAGCCAGCTGACCTGAACATTGTTTCGTTCGTGTACAAACAAATCATTAGGTTTTGCTTATGATCAGTGTTTTTTGAAAAACAAGACTGTTTGCACAGCGTTTTTTTTTTTTTTAACAACCCTGAAAAAACAGTGTTTCTAAGCTGGCGACACTGAAGATCAGGGTTACACTCCAAGGGACACTGAGTGCTCAGGGTACCCCAAAACGAATATGAGGCCCTGGGTTGGGGGACTGTTTAGGGTAAAATACCCTTGAACAGTAAAGTACCCCGTAACATTTTCTTTGTGTGATATACTGTAGTCCAAGGGCATAAATTCCAACCTGTTATTATCATGTCTAGCCTACCCTCCCGTCTGTCACACGAAAAATGAGGCGTCAGCCATATGACTACTAAAGTGGCCCTGGAGTCACAACCATTCCTGGGAAAGTGTCCCGAATAAACCCTTCTACGTCTTCTGCTTCTACTGCAATCTCCTGGAGGCACGGAAGGCCCTTGAGCCAGTTAACCCCACTTGCAGTAATTTTAGCATCCCACATCCCCAGCTTCTCCAAGCGTTTCAAGTTCCTCAGGTACTTCATGCCCGAATCAGTCACTCCGGGCGGCAAAATGAGATAGTTCAGCGAGGTGAGGCATTTGAGATGCAGCAGCCCATCCTCCCTCACTCCCCCGTCATGCAGTGTCAGCTCCTGTAACGCTGTCAGCTTACCCACATGCACCATACCGGCAGATGTAACCGACACACAACCACCAAGGCGAAGCGAGCTGAGTGCAGTCAGCCCTTCCAGCCTAGCTATTCCAGCGTCTGTGATCTTACTGTTGTCAAGAGCAAGCACGCGTAGGCTCGTCACGTGGTCAATACCTTCAAGGGCAGCATCCGTTGTGCATGGGCCCGAGAGATCCAAATGCATGAGCGCTGGCAGGGAGTACAGCTGCCTTACCCCCACAGCGGTGAAGCCAGAGGAGTTTTCGAGGTTGACGATTAGGAGCTGGCGGAACGTGGCGAGGCGAGTGAGAGCCGCGTCTGTGAGGCAGGAGATGCCGCTGAGGTCCATTTCATCCTGCTGCGGTGCTGTTCTGGCCCAGAGCGCGAGCAGCACCTGCAGCGAAAGCATGGGTACGAGAGGGACGAGATGGAATGAGAGGGACGAGAGGGAATGAGAGGGACGAGAGGGAATGAGAGGGACGAGAGGGAATGAGAGGGACGAGAGGGAATGAGAGGGACGAGAGGGAATGAGAGGGACGAGAGGGAATGAGAGGGACGAGAGGGAATGAGAGGGACGAGAGGGAATGAGAGGGACGAGAGGGAATGAGAGGGACGAGAGGGAATGAGAGGGACGAGAGGGAATGAGAGGGACGAGAGGGAATGAGAGGGACGAGAGGGAATGAGAGGGACGAGAGGGAATGAGAGGGACGAGAGGGAATGAGAGGGACGAGAGGGAATGAGAGGGACGAGAGGGAATGAGAGGGACGAGAGGGAATGAGAGGGACGAGAGGGAATGAGAGGGACGAGAGGGAATGAGAGGGACGAGAGGGAATGAGAGGGACGAGAGGGAATGAGAGGGACGAGAGGGAATGAGAGGGACGAGAGGGAATGAGAGGGACGAGAGGGAATGAGAGGGACGAGAGGGAATGAGAGGGACGAGAGGGAATGAGAGGGACGAGAGGGAATGAGAGGGACGAGAGGGAATGAGAGGGACGAGAGGGAATGAGAGGGACGAGAGGGAATGAGAGGGACGAGAGGGAATGAGAGGGACGAGAGGGAATGAGAGGGACGAGAGGGAATGAGAGGGACGAGAGGGAATGAGAGGGACGAGAGGGAATGAGAGGGACGAGAGGGAATGAGAGGGACGAGAGGGAATGAGAGGGACGAGAGGGAATGAGAGGGACGAGAGGGAATGAGAGGGACGAGAGGGAATGAGAGGGACGAGAGGGAATGAGAGGGACGAGAGGGAATGAGAGGGACGAGAGGGAATGAGAGGGACGAGAGGGAATGAGAGGGACGAGAGGGACTGAGAGGGACGAGAGGGAATGAGAGGGACGAGAGGGAATGAGAGGGACGAGAGGGAATGAGAGGGACGAGAGGGAATGAGAGGGACGAGAAGGACAAGCTAGGCTTTGGAGCTTTATGTGTCCCACGCGTGCACATGCATCTTTTCGTGCGTGCCCAGTGACCAGTCCCATTTGATCAACCATCACAGGAACAGGCTTGTTCTCGCATGCGTCATACATGCACGCTCTCATGCATGTGATGGGAACACATGTCTCTGGAACAACAAAAAGCAAAATACATGCACTCACCTCCCACACCCGCCCTCCTTTGCCATTACTCTTCTCCAGCTTCACCACTCTGCACCGCAGGCCATCCACCACTGCTCTCAGTCCCGACAGGGCAGCCTTCATCCCCCCCTCATCTTGCTTTCCATCGGAACCGTCGCGATCGGCGATAAGTCCACAACCACCCGCAGCAGCAAGCGCCACACCCTCCGCCTTCACCGCCTCATCCCGCTTTCGCCTCTTCCCCTCGGGCACCTCCGCTCCCGCGCTTCCCCCGGCCTGATTGCGCTCCGCGCGTTCCTTCTCCCGAGCGCTCTTCCCCTCCGCCACCGCCAGCTCCACATCGTTCATCCGCGCCTCAGTGTGCGCCGCCGTCGCGCGCACGTACGCCACTTCCGCCACCTGCCGCTCCGCCGCAGCCCTCATCCGCGCAATCTCAGCCTTCAGCGCACCCACCGCGTCTGCCGCCTCCCTCCGCACCGCCTCCACCTGCTCCTTCAACCCCTCCACCTCCAGATCATACTCACTCCTTACTCTATCCACGTGCTCTTCTATATACCTGTCCAGAAACGGGATACGATTGGTCGGCTCGGAAGGATGCGCGGAAAGGGTGTCCCCTGCTTTCCCTGCCTCCCCTGCCTTCACTGCATTCCCTGCCGCTGCACTCTCCGCCCCGTCCTTTCCCTTCACCGTCTCCCCCTGCCTTTCCGTCGCCAACGCCTCTTTCGCCGCTGCGCCCTTCGCCGCTTCAGCCTTCGCCATCGCGCGTTTCATTTCGTCAACCTCCTTCTTGAGAGCAGCCATGGCCTCCTCCTGCTGCCTCAGCTTTGCCGCTAACTGCTCTACTCGCGCCTCCACTCCTCCTCCTGCCGTCTCCGTCACGGGCAACCCGTTCACCATCCGCACCATGCCTCCCACCATCGCCATTAGCAATCGCGCCCGGACGAAAGACGGGCTAGAAAGACCAAGTACTGTCACGTGGTACGACTGGTGGGGCAAGTACTAGGGGCGCCGGTCTTTCAAAATTGGGAAGATGGGATGTTGGAGTTGGCTTGTGTAGCTTCTCCAAAGCTAATGCCTTTCGAGAAGCTCGTGTTGAACTATGTTAGCTCAGGCATGAGCGTTTTACATGTCAAATGCTATGCGATCATGCAAGTTCGTGCTGGACTTCTTCCAGACTGCTTTGTTGCGTAGAGGTCGAAAAAACCGGGAGGCAGCATGTTGCACCGTCGTGTTACAAGCTTTGCAGCCCTCGCAGGTTGGATTCCTATCCCAAGCACGATCTCGATGTGTCGTGAAGGATTAGCACGGAGCCCGTTGTGAACACAAAATGCAGCGGCATTTTCAAATGCGCGATGCGTCTCGAACGAACATGAAAGCCGCACCGCTACAGATCACGCTTGTTGCGGGGTCGGAGTGACATATTCTAATCAGTGTACCCTAAGAATGTACTGGAAAATCAGTCATAAAATATAAGCAATCATACGAGTAAACGAGAATTACACTAAACGATAATTACACTAAATTGACAAACGAGTACAAAGTATGAGCGAAGGCATGAGCAAATAATGCCTGCAGGGATCAAAAGTTGATCGTCCCTAGGATCACCTCATGAAGGTTCGCACACAGTTGTATGGTGGTGGTGGGCCCTTGACCTCAGATCAGAGTGAATATAAAATGACTGAGATTATTAAAACATGCAAATACAATCGTATAAATAAGAGTACAGGGGAATACGAAACGACCTAGCTAGCAATGTACTCTAAGGGATACATTCACTTATTACAGTGAAACCCAACCATGCGACTCCGGACGATTACAAACTGTCTCGGCAAAATCAACGCCACTGCTGCTGCCTGATGCTGTCTGCCCTGACGGTCCAGATGCTTCTTAACCGTGCGCGACTCTTCGCGTCATTGCGCCCCTTCGTCTTCGTACTCTTTACTGCGTGACCCGTTTGCTACGATGAGGAGTGCACAGTGAGCTGCTAATGATTCTCTATTCGTAACACCCCCTTTCACTCCTGGCCGTAGCAGGTCTTGACCCGCTTGACTACTCCGCTGAGTTCGGAGCACTGCTGGTACTGCTGACGTGGCAGTCGCTTCGTGAAGAAGTCAGCTGCCATGTCACCCGTCGGGCAATAGGTCAAGCCAACCTTGCCCTTGTCGACTTCTTCCTTGACAAAGAAGTACCGCAACGCGACGTGCTTGGTGCGGTTAACGAATCCAGGTTTGTATGCGATCCTGATCGCACTCTGGTTGTCGCAGTGCAGGCGAAAGGTAGGCGAGGTTGGGATTTTCGCCTCCTGCAGAAGCTCCTGTAGGTAAATCCCTTCGCGAACTGCTGCTGTTGCGGCGATGAATTCGGCTACGGCTGATGACATGGCAGCCAGTTCCTGCTTCTGCGAATTCCAGGAGATGGGCCCTGTTGGCTCGAGGCGGAACAAGAACCCGGTTCTGGACCGTCGATTGTCGGGATCAAAGGTGCGATCGGCGTCCACGTAGCCAGTGAGGTTGGAGGACGGGGTTGCCACTGTTGAGTAGCAAAGTCCGATGTTGGGCATGGAAATGAAGAACTTCAGAGCACGCTGAAGATCTAGGAGATTTTCAGCCGTTGGTTTGCGGGAGTATTGAGCCAGTTGGCTCGCGATGTACGAGAGATCGGGCCTGCAAGTGACAAAGGCGAAGAGCAGGCAGCCTAGTTGCTGCTGGTAAGCCTGGAGTCCAGCGGGGGACAGGGATTTGTTGGCAGGCTTGTGGTTCGGTCCGGGAGTGCAGTAAGGGGTAGAGAGCGGTGCAGGCGCGATGTTGAAGCGTTTGCCAAGTTCTTCTCCGTACTTGGCTGCTGAAAGGTGAATGGCTTCTGGCGCGTAAGAGATGTTGAGGCCGAGAAACTGCTTCACGTCATAGTTGCAGGTGATGTCGACGTGCCCTGCTAGGGCCTTTTTCGAATTGTTTGAGTAGCTCGTTGCTTGATCCGGTGTAAAGCAGGCCGTCGACGTAGACCGTGAGCAAGATGTAGTCTCCGCGGAAGTCTCGGCGGTACATCCCTGGATCGTGAGGCAGTTGCTTGAAGCCTATCTCGAACAGAATGTTGTGCAGATACTGCTGCCAGAGCCTGGGCGCCTGTTTGATCCCGTAGAGGGATTTTTGCAGCTGGCACACACGAGAGTCGCCCTCACCGTATGTGTGCGGTTGCTCCACGTAGATTACTGCATCAACTAACGCATAGCGGAATGCGTTCTTTACGTCGATTTGACGGAGCGGTAGGCGTCTTGCAGCGGCCATAGCGAGCAGGATCCTGACAGAGGTGTGACGGCTGACCGGCGCAAACGTCTGGTCGAAGTCAATGCCGTGCCTCTGGTCATAGCCGCGTACGACCCAGCGCGCCTTGAAGCGCTCTATCGAGCCGTCTTCACGCGAAAGACCCATTTTCCCGAAAGCATGCGCCTTCCTTTGATTGCGGTGCGGTCGACGAGCACCTAGGTGTCTCGGGACTCGAGCGCTTAAATTTCTTGATCCATCGCCTCGCGTCACTCCTTGCTGTAGGGACCCGTCAGCACTTGCCGCAGATTCTTGGGTTCGACGACACATGGCGCTGCTGAAGTTGCGGTGTGGAGTCCTAGCAGCTGCAGCCCAGACATGGTGCTGTCGTGGCGATGCTGTGGGGTTATCTCCTGTACGTCATCGTCGTCGCTCTCTGGCTAAGATGGAGGTGGTGGCGCTGCGCCTCTGCTGCTCCCTTCTGCTTTGCCGACTCCTCCTCCTGATGGTTCCTCACCGTCGTCGTCGATGCCGTGGCGATTGACTCCTGTGAACTCGCCAGTGTTGTCCTGCTCCAGGATGGCTGCGGCGGCTTCGTCCTCGGGAGTGGCGTAGCTGTGCCCGTCATTGGCGTAGACTCGATTCGCGTTCGTCTGCTTGTCTTCGCGGTACTACGCGAGGTTGAGCCGTTCGTAGAAGATGACGTCGCGTGCGTTCGTGGTTTTCTGGCTGAGCAGGTCCAAGATGATCCATGCCTTGTATTTGTGGCTGATGCCGAGGTGGATTCCCCAGCCCGCGCGGCTTGCGAATTTGCCGATGGTTGATGTTGGCGGTGATATTACACCATGCACCCCCAGACGCGGAGCATGGAGGTGTCACCCTTCGTTCCCGTCCACTTCAGGTGCGGAGACGGGTTGCCGGTGACAGAGGTGGCAGACAGGAGGTTGTGCACTCATACGGCGTGGTGCATTGCGTACGTCCAGTACGTCGGGGGGAGATTAGACTGCTTCAGCAGCGCCCGCACCTTCGTCATAAGCGTGCGGTTTGTGCGCTCGGCAACACCCTGCTGCGGATGCGCGTAGGGGAGGGAAATGTGGTGCTCGATTCCCTTCTGCGTCAGGTAGTCCTGCAGTTCCTTGCTGCGGAATTCCGCTGTGCCATCCGACTGCCAAATCTTCAATTTCTTCCCAGACTCCCGTTGCGTGCGCCAGCCAAGGGCGGAAGACCCCGTACGCCCTACTGCGGGCTTCCACGTTCACGATCCATACATAGCGTGTTCCCGCGTCGACGAAGGTGACGTGTACTGCTCTTCGTTGATTCCGCAATAGCCGACGACGAAGAAGTCGCTGTACACCTTTTGCAGTTTGGCGTAGCGATTGGTTCCTGGTTCCAGCAGAGGAAATGGCTGATGACGCAGCGCAACTTCGGGGCAGACGGTGCAGTTGCGTGGCTGTGATGTGCTCCTCACTTCGAAGTCGTCAGTACGCAGGAGTGAGCCAGGCACAAACACGCCAGCCTCGATGCAGTTTTTCAGCGTTACGCGCGAGGGGTGACCGAGGCGCTGGTGCCAAAGGTCGTCGTTGGCGCGGAGTCCAGAGGCATGTAGCTCGCGCGCACGGTTTCGGTGTCTTCTTCTAGTGCGGGGATAGGTTCCGCTGGCGCTTCTTCTTCTTCTTCTTCTTCTTCTTCTTCTTCTTCTTCTTCTTCTTCTTCTTCTTCTTCTTCTTCTTCTTCTTCTTCTTCTTCTTCTTCTTCTTCTTCTTCTTCTTCTTCTTCTTCTTCTTCTTCTTCTTCTTCTTCTTCTTCTTCTTCTTCTTCTTCTTCTTCTTCTTCTTCTTCTTCTTCTTCTTCTTCTTCGGTCACTGTTGTAAGAATTAGAGCAAGGAATTCTCTGTCGAGAATTACGGAGAGGGGGATGTTGGTCCTGGGGATCGTGCCGGGAACAAGGGTGGGCTCGCGTGGCTCGGGATCAGTTCCGTAGACTGTGCGACGCGGGGTCGAGGGCTCATTGCCTTAGTCGATGGTGTCCCAAGGGTCGCGGTGCGGTTGGACATCAGGCGGAGGTAGCGCAGGTGCAGGGAGGCGCGTGGTCGACCGAGGGGAACAATAGGAGGTTCTGTTTCCTCTTCCGTTCCCCCCCTTTGTTCTTCTCGGGAAGCTCCCCAGCCTTCACCAGAGGTGCCCCAGCCGCATGTGTCGCCGCCTGTCGCGGCGCCCCATCCGCTGCTGGCATTTGCCCAGGTACCGCCGGTGTTGCAGGTTCCCCATCCGTCGTTGCTCCCCCACCCCCCTACATTGGTGACGCTTTCTTCTTCGGCACCCCATGCGCTGCAGGCGAACGTTCCGCGCGCCTTGGTGATGCTCTTTTGGCAAAGCTCCTCTGCTTCGCGTCGCGTCAGCTCCTCTTCTTGCGCAATGGTGAGCTTTTTCTTAGGGTCGGGGGCGTGCCAGTGGTGGTACATTTTCATGAATTGCTCCTTCGTATAGGGGCGCGCCATGCCATGTGTGTCGAAGGTGCCGTGACCAGTGCCACGTAAGATCCCTTGAAGGTGTCGCGAGGCTGGTCCGGGGAGGGGATGTTCCTCGGTCCCGAAAATGTTGCGCGTCGCGATCTCGAGCTCCATGGTTGACATGCCTTCTTCAGGCGGCGCGTGTCGT